CACCCCCCGTCCCCCCCACGCGCGGCAGCGATCCGCGTCCTCCCGCGTGCCCAAAGCGCCTGTACTGAACCCACAGAAAACAGCGAAGCGACCAGGTCGCTGCCTACAGTAAAAGGGGCAAGAAATTCCTCCGCGTTCGATTTACCAGGCCTCGAGTTTCACCTCCTGTCAGCCGCGGGAGCCCCAGCGCCTTCCCGAGGAGGATTTCCTCGGGCAAAAAATAAGGAGTCACAGGCCCCCGCCAGCGCCCGGGCGTGTGTGCTTGCACGCGAGGAGGGAGCCGCTTCCGAGAACATGCAAGTTCAACACCACGTCAGCCCTCGCAGCTCGAAAGTCACGCAGCACGCTGGAATAAACTGTCCTCGCTCGGGCCAGAGGCAGCACTCTCACCCTCCAAACCTCACTGGATTTCACGGTGGGAGTCTCTCGGAGAACGCTAATTAATGACTAAGAAGCGAAGCAGAAGCCCATCCTGGAACGAAGTCACCCGTGACTCATTTTCTGTACCTACACGGCGTGAGCTCAGCCCCCTTCTCGCTGGGGGCTGCCAGGGTTTGGGGCCCAGCTGGTGACTGCCTCTGACACACTGCCAAAAAGAAAGCACCAAGTGCAGCAAACAGCGACTTACGGTCGTCTGTTCTATTTATTTAACACGGCGTAGTTTAGAGGTGGAGTTCGGTAAGAGCACAGTTAAGGGCTTTTTGCCCAAAAGCGCGCGCCGTTGTGGGTGCCTGTGTGAGGGCACAGCGGTCCCCCCGCTGCTGGAGCAACGGCCCAGGACGCTGCCCGGGCAGAGCACGCGCCTGAACGTCAAGAGGCTGTGGCCATCCCTTCACAGGGGCTCCACGCCACCGCAAGGAACTGCGGCTGCATCCCTAACTTGGCCAGATAAAATAACTTGTAATAACTGAAGAGATGGGTAACTGCTAAAGAGGTATGGAAGCCAAAATGTCTTGCAAGAAACAGGTAAATAACTTCTAAAAAAGGTAAATAACTTCTAAAGAGGTAAATAACTTCTGAAGAGGTAAATAACTTCTGAAGAGGTAAATAACTTCTGAAGAGGTAAATAGCTTCTAAAGAGGTAAAATTGATATTGCTGGAACACTATATTATTTGTGTTACCATTTTCTTTTTAAATCCAGCCTTTCATTCCTTGTGCTCAGTGATTTTATGAAATGACATATACAGAAAATACACGCATCTGGGAAGAAAGTGGCGTTTTTAAGATGGCACAAGGTTTACGGCGGGGTTTGAAAACGCTGCACAGCTGCGTTTACAATGCAGGGAGAATATGCCATTTCCACAAACAAATTACAAACATTGAGCTTCGTGCAGTTGGAGCTGACTTCATATAGAATGACACAATAGAGGCTGAGTAAAGAAGGCATCCATATCTACGGGAGCTGAAAACAAATTATCATCTGTAAATTAATTGAACCCTTGAGTGTCTGAAACATCAGACAGGCACAGCCTTACGCTCTGTCTGGACTCGACAAAGCAAGAGCTTTACCAAGCACGGTGACTGGTAATGTGTCATATCCTCATTTAGTGAGAAAGAACCGTATACACGCTTGCATTTATCTTCTATTACCAGAACAGAAATTATCTGTTTGGAACAGCTTCTTTCATGCATGAGATATAAATAAGTAGCACATATGGCTGAACTACACACTAAGGTACGCACAACTCCCACTGCAGTGGGACTGAGGATGCAACCGAGGGAAGACAGCGGCCTGGAATAACCATCTTTCTCAAAACAAATGTATAATTAAAGGAAATACATCACCCCAGCAGATCATACACCCATTTCTGAGGCTACCCCACACCAATATATAAAGAAACGATGACCACCATGAACATATGATCTCATTTTTAAACACACGTCTGAATCTCAAGCAAGAGAAAGAAAGCTTTAATTATTTCTTTCAGATGGTAAACTGCATCGGAGTGAATGCAGCCATTTACAATTCTGACTTGCAAATAATGGAATAATCAGTATGCACACTTCACTTATTTGCTGATGAAAGAAGGGAAACGTCTTCGACTTAAATGTTCACCATGAAAACAAAGTTCTCAGGCTCCAACACATTTTTTTCTAGTGACAAGACCTCCTTTCCTACCTCAAAACTTGCACAATGAGCATTCTTAACTTCTTAATGCAGAGCCCATTACAGGAAGGTTAACTGTCCCTTCCTGATGTTTTATATGAAGTGCAGTCAGCCACTGGTGGGAACTGGAAGGATGCTGGGGAACCCGTGGCACGCCAAAGGTGTGCTGCATCTTCCTCTGAAGCCCTTCCATCCTGAGTCTGTTGCACAGATTCTTGCTCTGCATTTTCAGCCAGAAGGAAAAGGGAAAGGAACAGTCACTGCCACAAACTCTTATTTTAGCTCCACGTATTTCTGCCAGACGATCCAGCAGAAAGCTGTTAGACTCCACGTTCTCCATCTTCCACCACCTCTCCCCTCCCAACAGGAGTGGTGTATATCACCATTTTAAAATCAGGCAACAGTACAAAGGTTCCAGTATAACCCAATTAATATAAAGACCCAGAAATGAAAGTCTTAACTTTTTCCACAGTTATATTTCACACATTCTCAGGACGCCTTTACCCTGCAAACGGCCTCTTGAGGACCTTTGTTAGCCTGCTCTAACGGAGCACTCCACGCATTATGGAAGAAACAGTGAGAAACTGCTGTCGACTTATTTTTCAAGAGAAAATAAAGGCTCTTGAAAGAAGGTTGAAAAAGAGGGCCACAGTGATGCTAGATGTGCCCACTTGGCAGTAACACACAAGGGAAAAGCTCTGGTTCTCATAAAACTGAGCTTGGTTAAAAGATCCTCTGCCATTGAACCAGAGGGAAAAATTGTTGGCAGTGGCTGGCAGTGGGTGTGGGGAAGCCCTCTCAGTAAAGATTAACAATCCCTGCGGGTGCAGTTTGGGGGATGGCGTGGCTTGATATTTCAGGGAGCAACACCAATGCAGTATATAGACCAACGTGTTTTAAACCCTTTTTCTCCTGAGTCTTTGTAACCAGGAAAAGAAGTTAACAAAGCTAAAAATTCTCCCCTGACTTCAGGATATCCTTCTAAACCGCACTATCTAGTACAGTCAACTGTCCAGAACTGTTAACATTTCAAAATGAAATATTATTCTATTATAAATCATATTTATATAAATATTATATAAATACTATAGAGCAGGTGAACATTGAAACTACTGAAAAGGCAGGATGTTACGTGGTGATATGTGGCCACATCTTTCCATAGTATCTAAGGCTGCCTTTCCAGAAAAAGTCATTCAGGGCCATCCTGCAAACTCATCAGTGCTGCGAAACTACTTTTCATTGATAGTACGATAATTAGTTTAATTTACAGTCTGATAATCACAAAACCACCGTTATCATTTCAAGATCTTGCTAATCAACACAAAAGTTGCATGACTGAAACTCATGCTTGCAAAAAGTTACACTGATGGGAAGGTAACTTCTCTTGAGATCACACGTAACACTGTTCTTAGGTGGTCTTCATCGATTTCAAGGCATCAAAAAATTCCTCTTGGGAGGAATCTCAGCGCTACTGTTCCCGGTGCTTATACCCTGTATGTCTAAAATAATCTACCTCACTTCACACTGCACATCAAGGACAGAATGAAGTTGACTTCAGTAGTATGAGAGTTTCCTCCAAGAGCTTCTCTATCATTTGTCCGATTTAATCACTACATAACATTTTAGGGGTTTTTTGAAAATTGCTTTTTAGTGCTGCATTTTCCACTACATATAAGTAAATAAATCAGTACATATTACTACATAAAATACTGGAATCTACAGTTCCAGGCTTTTTTTTTTTTCCTTATTATTAATCAATATTTTCTTAATTGTCTGCTCTAACAATTAAGCAAAAGTACAAAATGAGACATATTCAAGGTTAAGCAACAAGTCAGTGGCAACTGGAAGAGGACTTGACTCACACAACAGCACCTGACACACTGGATCAAGCATTCAGCACTTCAAAGTCAAAGAGAACATACAGATGTACATGCCTCTGCTGCATAGCAGCAGGTATGAATGCAGAAAATAAGGAATGAAAGTTGTTGTTCTTAAGCTACTGAATCATTATATGCAGTAGGAAGCAGTCACACCACCTTTATATTAGTAAAAATACTAAACTTCTGACTTTAATTTACCAGTGGAAAACCAATCCATCTATTAATGTTTTACAGTACTGAACAAAAGATGTACATTTATCACAGGAATCAATATGAAACTCAGGAATTCATTTATGTAGTTAATTTTTATGGTAATGCTTTAAAATTAACCAAGTAAATGTTTGGTTTTTTTTACATGTTCCCCCTGTTATCAAGATGTGCTAACCTTTCCATACTTATTAGACTTTTGCAGTAGTCCATTTTTCAAAATATGTCAAATTATACTAGATTTCTTTTTTCTCCAAAGTTGCATCATTAAATATTTATAATTTTCACTTTCTGTGCATATTTCTATCCTCCCTCTTAATACTAAGACTGCTAATTTTTATTATTTTTTTTTAAAGTGACAAAAGCCCTTGCTGTGTTTCTATGACGGTGAGATAATCAAGCCAGCTTTCACTAATGAAGAGAGAAGAGGGCAACACCAGCACCCGGGTAGCCTTTGCCACAGTGACACCCAGTGGGATACATCTTGCTTTGGGCCGTCCTGAAGATCAGGAGGGCAGAAATTTCAAGGTCCAAACATACCGAGATGCAATTTTCAATTAATTAAAGTCTCCCTCCCCTGGCCAGGCTGGTACATCTAACTTCAGGTCAGGGGGAGGACCTCCGGGGAGTGGTAAATGCTTCATGCCAGACCCTAGGGAAGAAGCTGGGACTTGACTTTGCTTTGGGGTGCAGAGGGGGGCATCTGTGTTGTATATCTATGTTTTTAACA